AAAGTAATTCATTTAATCTTTTCTTGAATTTCAGAGTGCTCCTTATGGTCTATACAAGTTATGTATTTTCCTTAATTTACGGTACGATTATCCAACAATGTTCATAACAGAGAATGGCTGGTCAACAAAGACTGGTCTATGGGATAGAAGCAGGGCAGAGAATATGAGGAGATATTTAAACGCTTTATTACTAGCCATAGAAGATGGTACAGAAGTAATGGGTTACACTGTATGGAGTCTAATGGATAACATCGAATGGATAGCGGGTAGTAGGTAAGATGTTATATTGTTATCCCTCTCACTCTGTTTAAAATAAAAAGAGATAGCAGTATAAAAAAAATATTTAATTTACTAAAAAAAAATCTGCTAGTATTTAAAAAAAAGTATGTTTCAGTGGTAAAATTTTGTAGCTGTTCGACTTCTACTGAAGTTAAGTAATAAAAAAAGCATAATATTCTGTATGTTTTCTTCTCTATGTTCCAGTGAACGCTTCGGACTATACGAGGTTGATTTTGAATCAGAAGAGAAAACAAGAACAGCTCGTCTCTCTGCGCATGTATACAAAAGAATAATAAAAAATAGAATAATAGAAGATAATTGGGAACCGAAAAACTTGAAAATAAGTAAACCGAAAAGAGTTGATTTGTAATTTATGTTTAAAAAGTTATAAGATTAAATTATTATTAGATACTTGCTTTAATTTGGTGATACGATACTTTAGAAATAAATAGCTGTTGCACGCGACTCCGTCCGCGTGGATATATAAAATTTAATTAATTTAGCCCACCCATCCATCTATCCACATCACATCCATCTAAAAATTCGCATTTATAATGTTATTAAGTTAAATAAAAAGCAGCTCTTCAAGGCATAAATTCGAATAAAAAAATAAAAAAAATAAAAAATTGTATCCTATGTCCGTCTCCTGGCTCTAAGCTACCTCCTCACCAATTTTCAGCCATATCGGTAAAGCCGTTTTTGAGTTATAAATAGTGTAACTAACACGACTTTCTTTTATATATAAATTTATCGTGTTGTACTTTTTTAATTTCACATACATTTGTTTCCATTAATAAAAATATGTACGTCGCCATCTGTTGGTGGTTGCCTACTTCATTTCCTACTACAAAACGAAAATTTTGATATCGCTATCACATACTAGATGGCGCTGTCGACAGTTTTTATTACTAAGCTCTTAAACAGCACAGATGGCAGCACTTGTGTAATATTCCGAATACGAACGACGCAATAATTATGATGGTCAATTTTTTTAGATTTATATTTATATTACAATTCCTCGGTGTAGTTAAACAACAGCTTTAAAGACTTGGTGGCAATAATTATGACATCAAATATATTGAAATTGGGAAGGCTCTTTTGATTTTGTAAATATGCTCTCTAATTAGCTGTCGCCCGCGACTCCGTCCGCGTGGTATTAAAAAACTTAATTAGTAGTCTATACGTTCTTCCAGACCATTCTATTTATCAAATTTCATCAAGATGCAGCCGTTCTGGAGATAATCAAACAAACATCCATCTAAACATTCGCATTTACAATATTAGTAGGAGTTTAAATCCGACCTATGTAAAATCAGAAAGTAAATCAATAAACAATCCCTCACCAAAACACAAAATATGAAATACAATAGCTTTAAAAATTGTTATTTTGTTTCATCAAAACAAACTATAACAAATACAACAAAGAATATGACAGCCCTCGAAAATAACAAAACAATATCGAATCTTTAAACTCATTATATACGGTATTTAGTTCACGTTTGATAAAAGAATATAAAAGAAAAAAAAAACCTCCCAACAAAAGTGAAGGTAGGTTAAAAAAACGCGGCATTTTCAAACAAACACCGCGGGTGGCGGTCTATAATGAACAAGTATCACTACTTAGTACTTAACAAGAAGCAAGAAAATACAAAAATAAACCCTAACTCAATGTATTATAATTCAAAATCCAATAACAAATTAATAATGTCTCAATAAAAATTGATAAAGAGAAATAACCTTTATTCCAAAGGTCATAAAACTTATTTTGTGATTGAATTTATCTATTCAAAAGTCAATGAGACGTGTGATGGGTGCTTCACAATGAAATCCAAAATCGGATCACATTGATTCGCGTTGGTACACTTGTATGCTATCTTTATGCTACTTATAAATTATTTTTTATGCCTTTTTTCCGCGATACATTTACCTAAATAAAACGTAAACATATGCCAAAACTATCATTATTTTATACTACGTCTTACCGTTGATTTCTGAGGCTAAATTCTTTGAAAAGTCATCATAAGCTCACTACAAGTCCCCACCGAGGAGCTCGGAGCCTACCCTAAGTTAAGGGTGATTAGGCCATAGTCAACCACGCTGGCCTAATGCGGGTTGGTTGACTTCACACATATCTTTAAATTTCTTCTCAGATATGTGCAGCATCACGATGTTTTCCTTCACCGTAAGAACGTCGGATAAACACATGTAAATCGGAAATCGAAAAACACATTGGTACATGGCGGGATTCGAACTCAGGACCTGCAGATTGCAAGTCAAGTGCTTGACTCCTGAGCCACCGACGCTCTCAAAGTAAACTTTTGAAAGTAACAATTTTTAAACGGGCATTTTAGTCTCAGAAGATCTCGATTAGACGCGGCGTTTATTAAAACTGTATAGAAATAAGTTAAAATAATTCTTGAGTTTATCTCCAGAATGGCTCAACGGATCTTGATGAAATTTGGCATAGATGTAGAACACAGTCTGGAAGAACACATAGGCTACTTACTAAGGCTTTTTTAATTCCGCGCGGAAGGTTTCACGGGCAAAAGCTATGCACAACAATTGTTGGAGATTACTTACGACATTATAACAATTTACCTCGGAATCATGCTTTTAATAATAACATTGTATATATTTAAATATGCGTCAATTCAAAGAATTTAAAATAAATGTACATAAGATAAGATTTGTGTAATATATAGAAATAGCTATGTCTTGAGGGTGGTGTCTGAGAGGCTTTTATTATATTTGCCGGTTTGCGTAAAATACTGACGGAGCGATGTGTGACAGCTACATTAAAATGGCGGGAACTTATTTATTTAACGCCATTTTGTTTTTATAAAAGAAAACAATTGTAAACAGGAAATACATAAATAACCTAAAGATAATTAAAAAAAAAACAAGTATATTGGATTAACAGAAACAGGAATAAGGAACATTTAGGGCATAATGTAAATTGAATGATCCCGCGCGGTTTAAAATTGATGTCTTTGGCTTCCACTATCGCAAGTCATAGTCTCTTAATGATTATTTAAACAGTCACTTAGTGTAGATACTTAATATTAAATCAACATTAAGAACTCAGTGATCACTTAAAGACTCAGTAGAAAATCACAATAAAATGGAACAAATTAAAATTAAGAAAAAATTTAAAAAAAGTGTACTCCATACTTACCGAGCCAATTTGTAAAGTTCCATCATTCGTGATACGGTGATACGTCTCGGTTATACCTACACCTCGCCCTCCGCAACCCCTAAAACTTCAACCCCTAAGAAATCCGCTAAGTAGCACCCCACATGTATCTACTTCTTGAGATGTGTCCGTTTGCGCGTCAGGAACAATGATCGATTTTAAATATGACAAAAGTAAATAAAACATAACGCATTTTCAACATTTTTATCTTAAGTCTTAGAGCTTTAAGATGTACGGTAGATGCAAAAAAATTTAATCGCTCAAATTTCAAATCTGTTCAATTGACATTAGGTTGTAAATAAGTACATATTTTAAATTTTAAATCTCTGTGCATACTAAC